TTTAAAATCTATCCATGAGAGTTCACAATGGTTTTTAATTTCTGAACTAAAAATGCCTATATTTTCTCACAAAGTGAAACTAGAAACTATTGCCTACAGAAACACTGCAACCTGACCAAATGCTCACTTGTAATTAGTGTTTCTTTGTAATCGGGGTTGTGGGTGGCATGATAACCTGTGAGCATCCTTGATTGTGTACAGCTAGAGAACAAAAGGTCACCAAGTCACTGTGGCTTCCCAACAACAGTTCCTTCACCGGGAACACAGTCGCAGACTCTGGCATTCATTTACTAAACTCACTCAAACATAATGGCCCTGGATGAATGCTCAGTATTCCCCAGCTTTAAGACCTGGGGGAAAATTATTTTACAGCTCAAGAGTTTTGTATTTTCCTTTATATGGGTCTTACCTGTTTCTTCTTAAGACTGTTCTAGGTATTTTTTATGTAGTTTGTAGCCATTGTGAGTGAAATTTCCTCTTTAGATCCCCCCTCCTCTCTGCCCGCCCCCACCTCCTCCCAGATATTTGCCATTACATTGGTTATATATAATCTGGGTGGAATAGAAGTGATGTTTCCAAACATCTTATAATAGAGGACCCATTAACCATAAGGCAACATCAGAATTCACAATGACCCTGGACAATTAGAGAAGTGTTAGAAACAAAGAAAACAGTAGTGAGTAGGGGCAGGTACAACACAAAACAACAATGACAAACCAAAAAAATAAAAAAGCCCGAAGGGAACTTTAGCTATATAAAAACATGTCAGCAGTGTCTAGCTGGTGGATTCAGTGGTTGAGCATGGACCTATGAACCAGGAGGTCATGGTCCAATTCCCAATCAGGGAACATGGGCAGCTTGATCCCTGGTGTGGGGTGTGCAGGTGCCAGCCAATCAATGATTCTCTCTCACCACTGATGTTTTTGTCTCTCTCTCCCTCTCCCTTCCTCTCTGAAATTAATAAATATATACATATTTTAAAATGTCAGCAAAGTATGTAGCGTCAAAGTGGATCATTAGCTGACCTTGAACAAACAGGGAAGCACTGCACTCTTTTTTGACCTGAAAATTGGCAGCTGGTACGAAAGGACCATCAGGCCAGCTTCCATGTGTGTTCAGTGCGGATGAAACCTCTATCAGGACACACACTAGTTCTGACAGCTACCACTTGAAGAACAAGGTGGAGATCTTGGAACCTAAATTGGCATGAGAGCTAAAAAGATGTAGATAAAGTTAAAAAAAAATAATGTAATTACGGAAAAGATAAAGAAAAGTCCTTTGACATGCAGGACAGGGACCCACAGTAGCTATGTACACTGATGACAAAACAAAACAGGCTTAACCGGCAACTTGACGGCATGCCATAAAAGGCAATGCTTTCAGACAGCAGATGTATTAATCATTAAAATGGCTGTCAAATTTGCTGTTGTAGCAGTGTGATTTTGTAGGTTTTTCCTCTGTGTTGCTCGGTTCTATAAAAAAACTGACAACTTCAGTGATTTCAGGCTGCTTCTGAAGATGCTTAGTGGCTCAGTTATCCCCGGCTCACAAAGTAAATAATTCACCGCACTTCTGAGTACAAACAAAAGGGCTTTATAGCCCAGCTAGTGAGTGGCTGGGAAAAATTAGAATGTTTATCTTACAGCGCTTAGTGCAAGAAGGACACAGGGTGTTTATTATACCCAGCAACCATCCACATCTAGTCTGGGGCGCCTGCTGTGTCTCATAAAGTTAGACAAGGAGAAGCAACTTGGAAGTACGGCAGGATCTTGTTGGACCAAATACAAACCTATCCCTTAACCAGCTCACACAACAGGCAAAGAAGAGACTCCCAGCAGCTGAAAAATAAATCTCTAGAATCTTCAAACTAACACTGTGGAGAGGGACAAATTCACTTAAAGAGGCTTGGGGCCAAGGTGTATGAGTTTAAGGTTAGTATAACTTCTGAGAGAAAACATTAAGAACCTATGGGGAAAGACAACAGCAGTGTTAAAGAATATAGTAGTGCCTAAAGAATTACTCCATGTTTCACTAAAAAAAAAAAAAGAAGAAAAAGAAGAGTGTATATTTTTTGATGGCGTATTAAAAATTATTTGAGATATGGTCTCTTGAGCTGCCCTTGGTTACTACTGACATTTTTATTCTCCTTCTAGGTTCCCCATGATTACCTTACCCAATTCTTGGAACTTACCAGTATATTTTTCCTTTCCCATAATCCTATATGTTCTTTATTTTGTAATATGCTCTCTTTTCTATCTTAAGATTCCTTTTTTTATGTTAAGAGCTGCTTCCTATTGTCTCAAGGGGAACTTAATCTCTTGCAAATGTGCAGACATATCTATAATGCTGACTAATGTAAAACCGATTCTTCCCTAAATTAGCTGTTTCATTCTTTTCCCACTTATATCATTTCTTACCTAAAAGATCTACACTATAATTGCAGGACAATGATACTAGCTAAGGCTGAGTGAGAAGTTAGAGATACATGGGGAAGTGTCAGCCTAATACTTATAGAAGTAAATTATATCTATAGTACAGGTGCTTTAGTATGGATTGGAATAGAATACAGTTGAAACTATATTTAAGTTCCCACCTTGAATACAGGGAAATAATATATATATATATATATATATATATATATATATATATATATATATATATATATATTTTTTTTTTTTTTTTTTAATTCTCTTTTTCAGACTTTTCAAGAGATATATTTAGAATATCAGATTAATGCCAACTTGAGATAGTTGGAGAACCTCTCTTGGTTTTTGCTTCCTGCTAAGAATGTATCTATGATGGATAAATTATGTAATAAGTCTACATGTCTTTCCTGCATAGATAACAGTGGCACAATTTTGCTTATGTTCACAGGAAGTCCTTGGTTTGGTGTAAGGTATGCTTTAATAGTTTTCAAAATATTTTATGAAAGCCCCAAATTTTACAGTTAATAAACACTAACAAGATATTATATCAGGGCTATTTTAAAATGATGAAAATAATGTGATATTAAATCTAAAGCTACTGGATTTGAATCATGAGCTTTGACTTGTAATTTTTAGACTTTTATGAAAGACAAAACAACAAATGGGATTAGATAAAGCTAACATTTACAAATACAAATATAAAAATACTCTTTGAAAATACATTTAACACAAGATAAAAAGCAAAGTGTTTTACACATAGTTGGACCTCAAGTCAATCACATGTTTGTTCTGTCACTGATCTACTAAGAGTCAGGAAATTCTATATAGCCTATGCTGCTGGTACAAAGGTAAATACGAGGAATTTCTTGCTATCCACAAGCTCACAGCCCAGTTGAATAAGCATGTAAAGAAAATAATCACAGGACAATGATAAGTGCTATTATAGAAGCCTGTATAAAGTTATCTAAAAGATTAGACGACTCACTAGCTTTGCCCACACAGGGATGGAGTCACCGAAGTTTAACAGAAGATGTGAATGTCCAGTGGGGTTGACACCCAAGGCAGGAATAGCAAGAGATTACTCCTCTGAGAAGTTAAACCAGGTCACAAAGGGCTTTGTATGTCATGTGAATGGGTTAGGCTTTATCTGGGAGGTAATGAGGAGCCACCTTAGAAGGAGTGGCAAAATCTGATTTACATTTTAGAAATGTACTTCCCATGGCAATGTGAAAGGTGGACTACAGAAAAAGTGAGGCTGCTGAAGGGAAAGCCTCGTAGGAGGCTATTTCACAAGCCCAGGAGGAAAAAAAAAAAAAAAAAGGCCAGAAGAGATAACAAGCATTTAAGGAAGTACCCTGAGGCAATGGCAATGAGGATTATGAGAAGAAAACTAATCTGAGAAATGTTTGAAAAGTAGGTGAGACAGGACTAGGTGACTAATTAGGTGAGAAGTAAAACACAGCAGTGAGGACAATTCCAAGTTTTCTGGTTTAACCAATTAGGTGGCTTGTGGTGCCATTAACTGAAGTAGATAGCACAGAAGAAAAAGCAGATTTGGAGAAACCAATAGAAATGAGCTTGTTGAAGATATGTGGGGTTTAGAGCATCGGCCTGCAAACTGAAAGGTGCCAGGTTCGATTCCGGTCAAGGGCATGTACCTTGATTGCAGGCACATCCCCATTAGGGGATGTGCAAGAGGTAGCTGATTGATGATTCTCTCTCATTGATGTTTCTAACTCTCTATCTCTCTCTCTTCCTCTCTCTGTAAAAAATCAATAAAAATATTTTTTAAAAAGAAAATATGTGGGGTTTGAGGTAGGAATACTTGGTTGTTCATTAGAAATATTATGTTCATTAGGTCAAATATTTGAGCAGGATGCACATTAGTAAATGAATAGGTGATAGCCTAATTAATGGGAACTGATGAGTTGGCCCAACACACTTGCATAGTAAATCACAGCCCCATTGGTAACTGTGGCCTTATTGTGATTTTATAGGAATGTGTTCTCTACACTCTCCTCTTTGAGTGACAGAATCCCTGAGAATGTCAAAACTTTAGGCACTACTTTAAATGTCAATAGATATAAGAACATCCAGTAAGATTGCTAGAATGAATGGGCCTAGCTAGACACTCCCCTGCCACCCCGAGACTTTGATTCAGTGGTGTGGTGTGGGATTCAGGAATCCGTTTGTTTAAAAAGCAACTCCTGGTGTTTCTTCTATGCATACACTAAAGTTTGACTTCCTTGGGAAAAAGAATTTTTTTAAAAAGAAGAAAAATGTAGTCAGAATTTTGCATATGTTAATTTTGCCTTAAAAATTACCATGTATTTAACTTGAATCAGTTTATTTCTTTTGGTTTTAAAATTCATGGTTTTAGTCAAATTCTAGAGATTATTTTTCCTAGAAAAGTGTGTAACAGATAAATTTGCCTGCTTTGAATCATAAGAATACTAGTGGCCTGTTGCAGGAAGATTCCTGCAATAGGGCTTCCTGCTGCAATCACTGCCCTGCCTGCTTTCCTCCGTTCTCCCCATCCCATCTGCTTTCCTCCCTTCTCCCCCTACCCTGCCGGCTTTCCTTCCTTCTGCAGGGCTTGACTTCTTTCTATGCTGTCTTCAGTCTTTACTCTGGCCTGGATATGTAAATTAACCGCCATCTTGGTTGAGTTAATTTGCATACTCACCCTGATTGGCTGGTGGACAGAGCTTGTGGGCATATGGAAGGTGTGGTCAACTTGTATGTTTCTCTTTTATTAGGTAGGATATTTCCCTGTGCTTAACAAGGAAAAAAAAAATGTATCTACTAGTAAAGTTAAAAACAAAATAAGCAGTGTAAAGCAAATTGTTTACCAATTTGAAAATGACTAATTGAAAATGTTGGCCTAATTATGCTTAAAGGAAAGTATCCTGGACTGAAATTCAAAAACTGGCATTAAGTCTTCTGAAGTCTCTGGACCTTCATTTCTCATTTATCACAAGAAGGTGTTAGGCTGGAAAAAATCTCATAAGGTTCTGGATAAGATTGATGTGTTGTCCTTTAACTATTATACTTGGTTGAACCAAATGAAAATGATGATGTTGAAGCATTTTACCTACAAAAAATGGAAATTTCATATGGTTCAACATATTGAGGATGGAGCAGACCCATCAGGCATGACCAGTGCAGGGCTTCTATCTAACTCCATCTCACAGTCAGGTTGCTTTATTTTCTCCAACAACTGTATACTCCAAGCACACACCTTTTCATCCTGCAAGCCCTGAGATTTCAAAGGGCAAGAACCATTTTTTTACCTCTAAATTGAAAATCCTAGAGAAGAACCCAGATTAACATGGCTTGGATCATACCCTCTCCTCAGCCAAATGCTTTGGTCAGAGTACTATTATTAGCTGGAAGTAGGTCACTTTCCTAACCCAGTGACCAGAGTGGTAGAATAGTGTGAATGGCAGCTTTTAGTCCCATAAAGGAGGTGAACAGACAAAAAACATATATCCTTTACCCATCTCTATGTCTCTGGGTATGATATGACTTAAAATATACTTTATTCATTGAAAGGACATATTATGACTCAACTAAACCAGAAGGAAGATTTGAATTCAAATTTTTGTGGGACATTATTTTCCCTTCTGAATTTATATTCTCATCTGAAAAGATCCTATATAATAAAAGACTAATATGCAAATAGGTCAAATGGTGGAACAACCGAACAGCCAATTGCTATGACATGCACTGACTACCAGGGGCGATACACGTGGAACATGATGGGCATCGGCAGCAGGTGGCTGAACATGGACATTATGGTCATCGGTCGCAGCAGGATGTTGGAGCAGGTAAGTTGGGGTGTCAAACCAAGGGGTATGCTGATCACTGTCATCAGGGCAAGTCTTTGGTAGTTATTGAAAATTCTTTGCTCCTGCATGCCGCAGCCCAACCTGGTGCTTGCACCCACTGCCAGCACCTGGCACCATCAGCAAGTGTGAGCAGTGGCTGCCAGCCCCAATCGCCCCTGAAGGCTTTTCCACCTCCTCATGCTCCTGAGGGCAGCAGCTACTACTTGCACCCGCTGATGGCACTGGCCCTGCTTATGCCTGATGATGGTGCTAACCCCAATTGCTCTGCACTGTCAGTGGGTGCAAGAATGGGAGCAGCAGCAGCAGGAGCGGGGCTGTTGGCAGACAGGAGGCTGGGGGATGTGGTGAGAGGGGCCAGTCAGGGGTATGGAGGATGGGCCAAGACCCACCCCTGTACCCACTGCAGCCTCGCAGCCCACAGTTCCTTTCAAGGTGCACAAATTCGTGCACTGGGTCCTTAGTATATTATAAAGACTTTGAAATGTTATGATGAGATGATATGAAATCATGTGCATGATATTTCTTTGAAAATTATAAAGCACACATAGAAGCATGGAACAAACTGATAAATCTCAGAGGGAAGATGGGGGATGGGAAGAGATTAACCAAAGAATTTATATGCATACTAGAGGCCCAGTGCACGAATTCATGCACCATGGGGTCCCTCGGCCTGGCCTGTGAATTGGGCCAAAACCATCTCTCCTATATCTCCCAAGGGGTCCTGGATTGTTAGAGGGTTCAGGACAGGCCAAAAGACCCCACTGGTGCACAATCGGAGCCGGGGAGGGAATGCAGAAGGGCTCCAGGGCATGTTCAGCCTGTTTCACTCAGTCACGACCAACCAGACCCAGCAGCAAGCTAACCTATCTGCCCTTTGGTGGTCAGTGCACGTCAAAAACAAGCAGTTAAATGGCTTTAGTATATCATTAGCATATTGGTTGAACAGACGAACAGATGACTGGACACTTAGCATATTAGGCTTTTATTATATAGGATATCCATAACCTATGGACACAGACAATAGTGCAGTGAAGGCCTGGGGGGAGGGGGTCAATGCGGGGAGAAGGGGAACATCTGTAATATTTTCAACAATAAAGATAAATTTTAAAAAGAAAATTGTAAAGCACTAGAGAAGTTAAGGACTCTTCCACTCAATAAATATCTATTGAGTGCCTACTGTTTTTTGTCTGTTTGTAAGCTTTCTTAGGCACCAGGAATATAAAGATGAATTAAATATGATATTTTTGCCCTCTGCAATATCATGCAGGATCAGGATAACATCTTGTATGTAAATAAGCTCAGCACATCTTAACTTTTTAATACTTGACTACTGAGTCCGAGAGTACAGTAGTTTAACAAATGCAGGGATAGTCCATATATTTTAGAATAGATATATTACTCAAAATTTGAGTGTAAAATAACCTTTTTTCAAAGCAATCTTTTGACTTTTTAAATCTCTGTTCTTTTCACAACACTATATTTGGTTCTGCTCACCTCTTCAACAAACAATTTCTTCCTCAAGATTAACATTGTCTCAAAGCCAGCTTTTCTCAAAACTGATCTTATGGCCAGTGCTCTATTGATGTTTCTTATCTCTACATACACTACGACCTGAATACAGCAATTCTAACCCCAAAGTCTCCCTTACACAAGATCGCAAATTACTTTCTAAACAATTTTGAACTTGATGCATACTAATTTTTATTTTCATATTTTTGTCACAATTCTCTCATTAATGTTGTCCCACCCAAGCTCATGCTTTGGAAAATGGTTGATAAAACTGAGAGTTGTCTATAAAACTTATAGTTCTCTAGCCATTCTGAATCTAAAATTGCCCATGAGCATTTGTGGCAGTCAAACTGATTTCCTATAGTGGTTTACCTTCCCATCATCCTAAAACACATTTTGAAATATGACTTTATAAAAATTTTAACAAGATTAGTCAACAAATTATAAGAGACTTTTTCAGGATCTTTCTGCTGATAAATATTTGCTTGCTAGGCACACAAGTTTATAGGCCAATCACATATTTATTCAGCATGAATTGGTCACATTGTAATAAGATCCTGCCTCCATGAGAACTATATAAAATTTCCAAACCTAAGGCTGGCTTAGTAGTCACAACGTTACTGTTTACTCCTGGTACTTTAGTACCTATTGCTCAGAGCTTTGTCATGAGTTCCTAAGCCCCTGTTCTTGAAATTATTTGCCAGGATTTGCTTATTCATTTATTTCTTCAGCAAATATTTACTGAAGAACTACTATATGCCAAGTGCCATTCTTGGCTGAGTGGGTACAAAATTAATAAGGCATAGTCTTTGCCTCAAGGCCCTCACAAAGCTGTAGAGAAGACATAGAACTAAAAACAAAAAAAGCTGAAATCAGTTTGGCTCAGTGGATAGAGCGTCGGCCTACGGACTGAAAGGTCCCGGGTTCGATTCTGTTCAAGGGCATGTACCTCGGTTGCAGGCACATCCCCAGTAGGGGATGTGCAAGAGGGAGCTGATCGGTGATTCTCTCTCATGGATGTTTCTAACTCTATCCCTCTCTCTTCCTCTCTGTAAAAAATCAATAAAATATATTTTAAAAAATAAAAACAACAACAAAAAACCAATTACAATACAGGAGATGCAATGGACTATGGGAACTCTGATGTGTGTCTGATTCTCTCAGGCAATTCCTCCCCCATTCCATTGGTCCAAAAGAGCCAATCATATTAGTTCAGGAATGGGCATCTTACTGTCCCAGAGCAACCAAAGGCCTCCTCACAACTTTTCTGCTAGAGTTAGAGGGGAGGAGTATCCCTCTGATACTTTTATTTTCATTTTTTATTTTAAATATATTTCTTTATTGATTTCAGAGGAAGGGAGAGTGAGAAAGAGAGAGAAACATCAATGAAGAGAGAGAATCATTGATCAGTTGATTCCTGCACGCCTCCTGTCTGGGAATCGAACCTGCAACCTGGGCATGTGCCCTGACCCAGAACGAAACCAGCAACCTTTCGGTGCACTGGATTTACCACACAGACCAGGGCACAACTGCATTTTTTGAATGGGGAAAAGACTCTATCATTTTCTGCAGTCCATATTCTTCCTCAATATCTCCCAAACACTCTACTCTGTTCAGTTGTCATGTATCCTTGAGCATACAGTGTTGTTTTCCTTGCTTTCTGCCTCTGCAGTTATATTATATACTGCGCAGCCCCTGTAGGCTCTGAGAGTATGGTCCCTGATCGAAAGAGCATCCCTACTGAATTCAATCAAGAAGTCTAACTCTTCTCTTGTAAAGCTTTTTTTTTTTTTTTGGGGGGGGGGGGGAGTAAAAAAGTAGATCCACCAACAGCAATGTTCTCAACTTTAGGGTCATGGGACAATAGTGTTTCTACCTATCGTGCTGGATATGAGGTATATCCAAAGTAATTTCTTACTAGATATATGTGTGCTTTTAAAGTTTGCCAACAGAACTCTTTCTTTTTTAGAAATTTAAGAGCATTCCTATGATAACATCATTTTCTTTCTCTTGCATTCTTTTATGCTTTATAGAAGGGGGATGGGTTCAGAATTACTGGTTAATTCACATTATTTGGATCTTATTTAAATATATTCATGGGTGTGTCACATATATGATCTTCATCCTTTATGTGTTGCAGCAGCAGAATGTTGAAGTATAAGTCCAGAGCAGACAGACATTATGGTAAAGCTTTGAATGGGTTAGGGAGTAGAGACCAATTGTCATT